CAAAAAACAAATTTTACTCAAATTTATTATAAAAGTTGTAGATTTTATTTGAAAGAAGATTCTTTAAATATTGACAGTCTATCGACTCTTATTTCATTTCTGTCATAGAAATTTTAAAATAATCAATAAAATATTCAGTACTCTCACTAATGACTTAAGCAAAATTATTAAATACAAGTCATCATCGTGCATTAAATACTGATATTAATATATTACTATTGATAAGATGCAATAGAATGTATACCTTTTATTGAAAATCTTTCTGTTGGTATGCAAGATGAAGGAATTCGATACTACTACTTAAGCAGTATATTATGATCTGTAAAAGAAACTTAAAATGGAATTTTTCAGATTCTCTTCTATTGTTGATTCTCGTTGTCTTTCTTATCTGTCTCGTCTTACATTGAATCGCAGAGATAAATAAGTTTTCATTGAGCTCTTGCATTTTTAAAAATTATATTTGGTCAACTTGCGTATCTATCATTAAAATTAGAAAAGGTTCGATCGATTTCTGATCTCTCGACTATAACAGGTGACACTATTCAGTAATTATATATCAATCGTCATAAGTCGTTAGCAACCTATTCTTCTAACTTATCATCATTTATTATTCAGTATGATTCAGAGGAACAGATAATTCTCATTTCATTTTTCAAAGTTCAATTTGCTCGTTGACAATGATCGAGATTGATTATCAACATTGATTTAACCGAGGATATCAGTTTTATTACCTACGTTTTCATCGTCTACACTTTACCATACAGTGGCATTGACCTAAATATAAAGATATTATTTTAAGCACCATTCTTCGTTATACGTCGTCAAATAATAATAGAAAGAATTACTTATAATACTATTGCATATAACCTTTTTTGTTAAAGATCAACTATTTACAAGAAATTCTATTTATATATTGATTAGAAATATAAAACAATTATCTAATCTATTGATTCTTCTCAAAGTTTTATCTCATTTCATTGAATTATCAATACAATCATAATCAAATTGCTTTTTTCTCAATAGAAATTTAAAAGCATATCGGCATGAGCACGCATCGGTCACCCTCGCATGGAAAGGTTTAAACCCACAAAAATAAAAAGAAACTCTTTCTATAATCAACAGTTCACCACCGACGGTTTATGAAACATGTTGCAAGCTCTGAGATACTTTGTTGACCAGCGATATAAACATTATTTTTATCCGACAACCGTCTAAAAAGAAATTTTTTGACTAATCTTACCAAAAGAATTTAATATTGAATTCTGTTACATCTCATGTTTTGCCTGAAAAATAGACAGAAACTTTAATGTCATTTCGTTGTGAGAGTGAAACTGACATACTCGGACAGTAGAACTGTGTGTGTACTGCTCTTGGGTTGGGGAAAAGATGAATTTTTATCGTGGTAATTGGAAATTTCAAGATGTCAAACTTTTCCCATCAGAAAATCGAAAAAAAAGACGAAATTCCGTAACGGACAGCGTTTACAGGTTTTTGTTTGATGTAATTATACCCTGTTCAGAAATGAACTGATATTCTGAAAGCTTGTGCAAGACTGAACAATTTGGATACAGGACGTTTAGTTGTATGTCACTTTGTTGTGCAGTAAAATGCTTAAGTCTCCACTCATCCTAAAAAAATTTTCATTTTTTGAAATTCTATAACGGTCAGAATTTTTTTAATAGCTCAGCGTGTGGCTGAGCTTGGGAGTCATGATTTAACTGACATCCACACCCACACACACCCTTCTTGTTTAACATTTTATAATGATGCTAGGACTATATATTCAGCTAATAATATGATATTTCATCACATGAATCACTTTGAATGGTTTCGCGCTTTAGCTGTACATTAGCAAAACAATCTAATAACAGGCTGCAGGTGAAATGATACTTCTCCCTGCACAAATGGAACGGACTATTGGAATTCGAATACGACATTTACAAAACTATTTGCATTTCTTCATTTGTGTTGACGCTCACTTATCTTTTTATTGAAATTTCGATCAAAATCCAGCAAGCATATCTGTACTTTTAATTCCATCACATTTTCTCGCATTTCTTATCGTCTAAACTTCATCATTATCCTATTTTTTTTCTCGTATGTACACAACTTTACATATGGTGGCTTTGTTCATTATACCAAACGCATAAGAAATTCTAAACATTTGGATCTCTTTCAACAACGGTTATTCATTACTTTCGTCGACTTTCCTTTTTTTCATTTTCATTTTATGAACATCTATGCACGCCAATTACATCAGTATTATTAATAGACCTATCTAATCTTTGCTTCAACTTCATGAAACAGTTTTTTCGTTTTCTATACAATTCTTGTGGTGGGGAGAAGTGTTATGTCAGAAGATGTCTCTCCTGACATAAGAAGACTCCATGTTCTTATGATATCATCGCTGTACATCAATGGCATTCTTACTCTTCTTTCTCAAGGACTCCTTCATTATGAATAACGAACGAAAAAGAGTGGAATAAGAGAAAGAGAGACAATCACATTCTTCGCTGCTTTTTTTGATTCATTCGCTTGTTTGGTTTTGAAAAGAAAGGAAGAATAATAATAAAGAAAACGGGTAAAGGACCCTAACAATTAATTTAACATAATGGGTTGCACTCAGATTTCTTTTAGTCAATAAGAATTTTTCATTATACGATTTCATGTGCCTCTATGATGGCGTTCACATTTTCCCTTAACTCGTTGTTTCTCTTAAACGGTTACCACATGCGTACTATATATAATCATTAGAAGGAAACTAGAATTAATTGAATGTGAATCTTATTTTTTGGTATATTTCTATTGGAGTTATGTAAGGCTTAGTGTGCACCACTCAAAACTAAGACATCCACCTACTCTTTTCTTTGTCTATATTAATATTTTTTTTGAATTTATTATTTTTTGTTCTTAACGAATTAGAACGCAAGACTCTTTTCACAGGAAAGTCGAGTTCTAAAGATGATCACTATTACTCATGAGTGGGCAGGTAGATAGCACTCATCCATCCATACCTCCAATTGTCGATTATATTGTCTATGTAAGAATTGTTTTATTTCATAGTTTTGTCACGTTTCTATTAATGTATTTTCATCGTTATTGTTGTTTTTTTCTGTTCTTGGTTCACTTATTCCAAAACTTTATTTTATAGATACATTCTGTCAGCGAAAACACAAAAGAAAATAACATTTTTTTTGTCACGACGATCAAAAAAAGTAAGTAAATAATTATTTGATAATTTTTCTCTTGACATTGAATTAGATAAAATGTTTATGTTGCACAAAATATTGAATTAAATACTGTTTAAGTTTGACTTCAATAAAAATATTTAAATCAATTCTATTGTTCGCATTAGTTTTCAGAAAACTTTCTTTTTTAAAGTTCGAAAATAACAATTTATTTAATTTGATTAAATTTATTTGTAATTTATCGAAAACTCAATTATTAGTATACTTTAAAAACAATATAATAATAAATTATTTCATATTTCATAGTAACTTTTTGAGTATTGCATGCTATAGTCGAATGGGCACCAAATATTCTTGAAAGATAGTATAACCATCATTTAGTAAAGGTATTTTTACAATGAACAACATGAACTAGAAGAATATTTAGTCAATGTACGAATAAAAGTAGATTAATTGTGGTTTTCAAAAGATATGATTTTCATCAAAAGTCACTAGCGTGAACGCTTTCAGTATCAAATTTTTCCAGAACACAGTATATCTGGATATAGTTTATTAGAATGCAATAAAAAATATATTTATAATATTTTTTATTTAACAAATCATTTAAGATCTGACACTTTAATTAAGCATTCCTTTTTAATCATCGTTTATGACTTTCAGATATTATCAATACATCCTTCCTGTTACATGTTTAGCACGTTTTTGTGCTTAGCGTTATTCTATTTTCTATGTTTAGATAGAGTCACTTTGTTCGTTCTTAAGTCATCTTCATAATTTTAAATAGTTGAATAGGTAAATATACAAAAAAGATATTAGATCATCACAAATCAGTAGTATAGAACTTATTGATTCGATTTTAGTTTTTCCTCATATAATGTTTTAAGAATGAGAATGATGTCTAAAGTCTTCTAGTAACAGTGATGAAAGATTTAGAAAGCTAGATTTTTTGAGTTGTACATGAAGCTATAAACAAGTACACTAGATAGACTAATACAGGTGAAAGTAAAGCCTTAATTAATATTAATTCAGTTTTCGATTTTCAAAAATGAAAGGATCCATTATAGTGGATAAAAGAATGATATTGTAACAACTATCCGAATATATTGTAGGACCTTAATGAAGACTGATAATTTCAACATAAAATACTTGAAATAAACGATTAGATTAATATCGAACAGAATGTGATGATTTTCAGAAAAAATTGCTTTTTTTCTCATCTAACAGCCTGAGAGTAATTGTCTGGAGGAAAATCCTTTGTTTTTCGATTTTCTAAAATTTCTTTTGAAAGCGTTGTCATGCAACAAATTAATAGTGGCTTTTGCTTTACAATAGCTGATACAATGAGATATGAGCAGAATTATGCTTAAAGTTAACATATCACAGAGCATTTCATTCGAAAGGAAACTTTTAAAAGTATTTGAGATGCTTTTCTTCTCCATAGGTGTCTTTTTGATTATTATCTTTTATTTAATTAATACGAACATGACCGTTCAGTTTTTTTTAAATCAATTTAATTAAAAATTGAATTAGTTCTTCGATGTTTGTATAGAGACAAAGTCATTGCGGGCAAACATTTTTTCTGTTCTTATCTATTTACACACATGCATCTTGCAATAGTGAGTCATTGTGGATTTAGAGTGCGACTATTTTTCTTCATCGTTTCTCTTAAAAGGTAGAAATATATGCAGGTTTCTTTTTCCTGGTGTTTTATTGACCTGTTGAATATACGCATTATTTATCAAGTTGTATTACTTAGAAAAAATAGAAGTAAACCATTTTAATTTGTGAATATTTTTTATTTGCAGTTTAGTCATGTCAAAATCAAATATAATTTCATCTCAATGTCAGATTTGTGCAGTTCCTGCCATTCATTCTTATTATGGTGTTATAGCGTGTGGATCATGTAAAATGTTTTTTAAACGAAACGCTGAAAATCGAACTGTCAGTTAAGATGAAAAAGAAAATTATCTTTTTAAATTATCTTGTTTAGAAAACATTGAAATGTCATTTTGATGGTCAATGTGAAGTGAATATCAATACTCGTCATGTATGTGCTGCATGCAGATTAGAAAAATGTTTTCAAGTTGGAATGTGTGTTGAATCGATTCGATGTTCTCAAACGCACAGAAAGAAAAACAACACTGCATCATTAGCATTAGTTCAAATGAGTATTCAAAACAATACACGATCACAAATGGTAATATGTTTATACTTTTCTTTTTTACATTACAAGATTTATAAGAGACGTCATTCTTGTTATTAAATTATTCAATCTTTCTTTATTCAAGAGAAAAATATTCGACTTTTTTTTTCTTTTATTAAATTTCATAAACAGTTGAACCTGATAAATTCTTATATTTTTGGAGACCGAAGGATAGATTAAAAATCAATTTCTATAGTTTCATTGTTTTTAGACCAAATGAGATAATCTCTTTTTATGATAAATGAGAGTTTCAAGTTATTTGGTAACTTAAAAAAACTCTAATAGGAGTATTTCATATTAATATTGACTTATTAAAAGAGAAAAATTCATGGTTTCTACCAAAGAGAATCAAATATTTTTTCGGTTTGCGTCATATGATTCGATATCTTCTTATTTTTAAATGTTCTCTATTCATTAAATATTAATTATAAAATCACATAGTTTTCTGATAACTTTTTGTTTGTTACATGTTACAGTGTTTCTTACACTGATCAGCTTTTAGATACATTTACACTGTTTTTATGTCATTGATTATTTTTTGAAAAAAAAACGATCAACTCCTATATTAACTCACTTGGTCTAACTATGATAAACGAGATAGAAATTTCTTTTTAGTCAATAATCTTTCGGAGACATCTTGAAAAGTTCTAGTATTCCAATTCGACAAAAGAATAGCGTATGCTCTCTTGTGCATAGAACTAAAACTATACAGTTTAGTTCACTTACTAAGATTGAAGAGTCCCCGTGTTCGATGTAGTCAGACACTACTACTAAATTTTACGTAACTGAAAACATCAATTCGAAAATTCTCAATTTCAGTTGTAGTTTTACTCAACAAAAAATGCATAGTAAGTATTTTTGTTGACATAACACATTTTAATCATTTATATTATTCTTATTCGATGTTCAATTAGATATAAACAAGATATATTGTCTTAATTTCGATTTTTATTTCATCAAATATGGGATAAAGTTTATATATACTCTTGTCGAATTCAGTTACATTCAAGATAGTGTTAAATCTGTATTTATATCATCATATTAAGAAAAATAAGAACTGCTATTGAATAATTAGAACTAGTATGTACAAAACAGATTGATTTATATTTTTCTTTATTTTTATGAATATTAGAAAGTCCTGTTTTATCATTTCGTCATCAATAAATACAGTTTTCCTTATTATTTTCGTTATAGATAAGAACATTAAATTTACTTGAACAAGATCAATCATCATTAACCACTAATCAATGGACTCTTCTATCGAATTTAATTCATTCATATGATGAACATAATGCTCTAGCAACTGCACAAAATTTTATGAACGAAATAAATAGTTTACATCCAAAATTACGCTTCAAAATTGATGCAAGAAAAATCGTTGAATTTGTTACAGTTCTTTCTCAAACAATAGAACCATTTATTCAATCAAATCAACATTTTACGTCATTACCTCGTCATGATCGTTCGATTGTCTTGCGTGGAGCTGTTGATAATGTTACTTGTCTTGCTTCTGCTTTCATCATGCGTCAATCTGAACTCATCAACAATTCAGCTTTTCGTAATGGACTGGAGATTACTTATGGTACTATTCCATATCAACTAAGTTTGAAAGTGATTTCATTAGTGGATCAAGATGTTGATCTCGTTAAATTAACATTATCTATATTTGCTTTTTGCACAAATTGTTGTACTGTATTCAATGAAAATACTTCACACACGTATTTAAGAGATATTCAATCATTGTTAAATATTCAAAATATGTATGCTGAAGTTATATGGAAATATTTACTTTATAAATACAAATTTGAACAATCGGTCATACGTTTTACTCATCTTATCAGAACTATTATTGGTGCAATTACCGTTAGAACTCTTCTACAGACTGTTCAAAATCATACTGATGTCGTTGAAACACTTGTTAATCATATCGAACAAGAACAAACAAACATTAATGATGACTAATTCGTCTTTTTTGTTTCAGACTTTTTAATACTGTGAATAATTGTAAAGAAAATGTGTTGTACATGTAGAACTTCATCTGGTCAACATGTGTATATATTTTTTCTGTGCATAAATTCAAAATAAAGAATTAACTAAGTATTTATAGAATATGAACAGTGATTACCGTCATCATACATTGAATTCTGCGTTTTTAATATCAAATGTAACGTTCTTCCTAATCTGAATCTGATATGATACTTCAGGTGAATAGAACAGTAAATTGAAGATTACCATGAGATAATAAGCATTTAATATTTATATAATCTATGTATTTAAAATAAATTACAGAATAAAGTCAAAATGACCAATGATATGGAACGTCATTTATCATTGTCATTAATATGTAGGTGAAATTATCATCAAATTTGAGTATTTTCATTCTGCATTCGCCCAGGAACTTGTTTAGATCACAATTGGACGTGTTCTATCCAACGATATGTTCAAATTTGTCACACTACAAACTATGATTTTGAAAGCGTAGCTTAGCCTATCGAAAATTTGAAAATATCAATCGACAGAGCTCGTTGAATTGTATTTAGAACAAAAATAGGACATTTATTACAAGTTCCTAGAAGAATCTAGGGTAGAAAAACTCGAATCTATTGATAACTTCACGTGCGTGTCACTAATGCACATATTGCCTTCGTTTTTAACGTAGTCAAACATATAAAGAGTGGAATAGAATAAATCTTTGTTTATTTCTTCAATAACTTCTTTATTTTTTATTCAATCGAGTCAAACTTAGTTTTTTCATTAGGATTGCCGTTTGATGCTCTAGAAAATTTTATATAAACATTTTTCCTTAGAAAGAACTATGGCAAGGAATTAAATTAGAACAAATGACGTCTAAAAGTATCAACTTTCAAAAGTAAAATATTGGAATTTTCCAAGGCGTTACGGACAGTTACAAATGTGTGTCTTTTAACAGTTTACTCATTTTCCAGTAGTTTAAAGTCTGTTCTTCTACTTCTATATAAGGCTACACATAATATACTACTATCTCTCAAATATATTCATGCGACAGCAAAGATTTCGAGATTTGAAATTAGAAGACGTTTTGAAAAACAGATTATTTTCCGTGAAACTATTTTATATATGTGATCTATTTGTCTTTACTGAGTCATAAAATTCTGAGAAGTTGCTCTTTCCGAAAAGATTCAGATTGTAACCAACTTAAGTTGAAAAATGTTCAAAATAACGACAAAAATATCGTAGTAATCATCTGAATGTTCACCAGCATATGTTCCTGCCATTTACTCTGTATGGAAATCTCCATTTTGTTTTTTTGTTGACACCATCCACACGTTTAGCTAGACGCCGTTTTATGAATTACTTTTAATATAATGCGCTTACATGTTCGTTTCAATTACTAAAGTTTATTGCTAGTTTCATGTAATACATACCAATATCATATATTACACTTGGAAATAAATCATTGGTAAAATCAAACATAATTAATCTAACAGTAAAGATATCGCCCAATCTAATAAAAAGCGAATGTAACGACAAAAAAAATATAAATTTTTTCCACACATGAAACAGAAATTAATACACGAGGTACAAATTGTAGACGTAATGAACCGGAAGTAATTAAAAATACTTTTTTTTTATCACTGTTTATGTCAATTATCTCTAAGCATTCTTCAATAATTCGAGTAGTAATCAACACTCTGCAGAACGAATTAAATTTCATTATTATCACTTAATCTATTGATCTCAGCCTTGGTAAGATTTATCACACTAGCTAATGCATTTTTGAAATCTATATAAGTGTTATTTTCACCAATAAAAGTATCAACCTATATAATTAAATGGTCATTAGTTGCACCCTCAGACCAATCTTGTATAGTTATTATTTAAAATTCGGCCGAAGCTACAACATTACGAGAAAAATACAGTCGTTGTTTAAATATATGAAGGATAAAGATGGACTTACATATTCATTATAATACTGAAGGTTAAATAAGAAGAAAAAATCATTATATGATGTGAAAGTCATAATTAAATTCAAATCGATTATTACTTTTGTAAAAATAGTTCTTGTTTTGAAAATGAAGATAAGTATTATTGAACTTTTTCTTTTGATTCTGAGAGACTCTTTTAAATAAAGTTGCTTAATTGATATCTTAGGAAATGTCTAGTCTTCGACTGATATATTGTATATTAAACTTAGTGTGTATTTTTGTTAATAAAAAGTTGATTAAAAAGGTGTTTTTTTAATCAGTTTTAGACTTTTGAATACATATGTATTTTTGATGTATCTTGCAGTGTCCCACAGTAAATAATGATTGAGTTGGACGAAAACTCATTATCAAACAAACATGTACAAAATAAACTTGTTCTTAATTATTTACTTGAATTATCTATGTTCTCTAGTTTTATTTGTAAGTATTCATCTAATAACGCTGTCAATGCTTCACGATAAAAATCATCGTCTTGTGTATCATGAATATCATCGACCTTGAAACATCACCTATTGTCATTGTTGTTCCATTATTGTATGATTCTATTGCTTTAGATAATATTGCATGATATTGTGGAATGTGGGTGTAGTCTTAACTTCCCAATCATCCAGACACCGAAACCCATCACCCATACCGACACCATTTAATAGACTTTTTCAAATAATCAATCATACTTTTTTTTATAATTTTAAAGTTCGTCGAATTTTGAACATAATAGTGTTGTTTAATCGATTTTTACCTACGAAAAAAAATCTATTATGACTAATGTCTGCGCCAGAATGAAAGATGGGTAGGTCTAAGCGCAATATCTCGATAACGGCAATAGTTAGCGACATGTGGTTGTCAACAATTGAAAGAGGACAAGTCGGGATATCTTTTCCTCCGATCATGTAAAAGACGAAATCCTCTTAAAACTAATCATCTTCGAAAAATATGGAAAGGAATGCATGAGAATGACCTGTCATCTAAGTGAAATTTTGATTTTGACCTTTGATTTAGATAGAGGGACTTGAGATCTATAGTTTAAGATAAAATGCGCTTTCTGACTTCTCATTAAGTTTTCATCGAAATGTCAAGCTATTATGATAGAAAGTGTGAAAACTTAGTAAAAAAAACAGCAAAACTTCCTATGATTTGTGCATGAAAATAAATGATTCCCTTTGTTCAACCTTAGAATGTAATAAGAGAACCATTTGCATTGTATCTTGAACTATAGATCTCAAGTCCCTCTATGTATATCAAAAGTCAAAATCAAAATTTCACTTACATGGTAAGTCATTTTCATGCATTCTTTTCCAAATTTTCCGAAGACGATTATTTTTAAAAGAATTTCGTCTTTTACATGATCGGAGGAAAAGATATCCTGACTTGTCCTCTTTCAATTGTTGACAACTACAGGTCGCTAACTATTGCCGTTATCGAGATGTTGCGCTTAGACCCCCTCCTCTTTCATTATGGCGCGGACATTAGATTTTTCCAGCTCTTTTTTACATGAATACCTATCAGTCTATTTTAATCCGTTATTATCTTTTAGTCTATTCTAATATACTATTACCATTTAAATTATTTCAATCTATTATTACCTTCTAATCTCTTTGAATCTATTATTACACTGTACATATCGAAAAGAAGTGGCCTTCTTAAAATTTCAACACAAAGCATCAAAGTTTCCATGATTATTTGGATTGCTCGTGTTTACAAGCTATAAAGTTGCTCCTGAACTGAAGTCATCCAAATGTAGTAAAGTTGAAATTCCTATACAATTTGCTTCGAATTCAGATGGTATAATTATAATGAAGGCCGATTACATAAAAAAAACAATACAAATCAGTTAAAATAAAAAAATCGATTCAAATCAATTGGAATTCTAATTTATTATTCCGATCATTCTGAACAAAATGGACAGTTAACGGCTTATTTTCGAAATCAATTGAAATCAATTCGGTTTTTAGTTAATTATTGTGGAAATCACATGTTTTCGAAGAAACTATAGTGTGTGAAAGTTTCAATCAAGGTTTTAGCGACTTTCCACACTAGTTGGTATTTTTTTAAAAAGTGCCCCTATTTAAGAAGGTTTTCCTCAGAAAACTCGACTTTTGTTAAAAAGAATCATTTTTGATATATACATATAAATATCTTAACCGATTTGTTTAATATGAATTCATTAAAATCACTACTTTAATTCTCGTCTATTTTTAGAACTTTTGCAAAGGACCTTTGAAATTAATATACGTTCCACAATATTAAACCACTCGCTGGTTGTTGAATGACTTTTGATAGAAACAAGATAAAAAGCTAATCAGATTCATTTGTGTGTGGAAACGTTAAAAATGATATTGTGGAGCTGTTTCTGTTTGAAATCGTTTGTTAACATGACAGTTAAGTAGAAAAACTGTTCTCCTTCGATCTGGATAAGGGCAACATTACCAGCTAGTTGATTGCAAGAATTATGAGGGTGTTCTTAAGATCCATGATTTCAGCCAATCGATCCAGGGTCTCCCAGAACTGTCTAGGCATTATTGTGAGTGTGTGAGAAGATCCAAATTCATCGGCACACTTCGCACTTACATCCACACCCTCAAACTTTTTCCTTTCGAATGCGCATAAAAAAAATAAGTTAAATTTGGACGAGTGCTTCAGTTCCTTGGTGCTGTCATGAACGTTCTCTTAAGTATCAATTTTTCGAGAAATTATTTAATTAAGAGAGTTTATGCTACTCATGATGCATCATTCCTCGATGAGAGTCTACGATCGTAGAATGAAATGATATTTAGTTTGTTATATTCATCAGTTTAAATAAAGACTTCGTTAGTAGCTTGTATATATGTTATATATAAATCGAGTGAAGTTGTTTATAAAACATCGAACATCTCGTTGCAAAATATATGTCTATGTTTACCGAACCATATCTACCAGTTTCAATTATGCTTGTTAAAACTCGTCTCCACACAGAAAGAAAATTGTCAAACAACTTTCATTGGTATTCCTTAATGAGATCAAATTTTATGAAGAACTCTTTGATCTCCAACGATTTCATAATATGGTTTTTAATTAGAAAATATATTTAGAGCATACCAGGAGTAATGACGCCACCATCTTATTTCCTTATAAAAAGCTTC